ACAAAGTGGAGGCGAACAAGATCAAAGGTACAGTGGCGGCAACACCTCCTCTTGCCCTCGGATTCCGTGCTGGATCTGAGCAAAGGAGTGCTTTATAAGCATAATCGGCTGCAGGAGAAGGGGAAAAAAAGAAGAGGAGGAAAAATAAGGAGAAAAGGGGGTTTACCGTTGTGCTGGCTGAAGAAGGCAACTGCTTGCAGCAGTGACCTAGTGAGACAATCAGCAGAGAACTTGGTGGAAACACGGGCTTCGATCCAGCTAGAGAGAGATGAAATGCTGGGGTCACAGTGGCAAGGAAAGAGGAAGAAGAGAAACCAGTGGCTGTCGGCCAAAAGGCTTGCTGGTAGCGCCTGCCACGCGAATAGTGGAGGTCGCTATTTTCCCTATTTTCAGTCTTAATCAGAGGTCAAGATGAAGGCAACCTGCGGCCGCAAGGTAGAAGAAGTGAGATAAAGAGAAGAAAAAAGAAAGGAGGAAGGAAAATCCGGCCAATAGAGGGTGCTTCGGCAACGAGCAGCTAAAGCACGCACAGGGAAGAAAGAGGAAAAGGAAACAAGGGGAAGGAAAGATCTGGAAGGGGAGGCACGCGTTAGGCAGAAGAAGAAAAGAGAGAAACATTTAAAAAAAAAAAAAAAAAGTTTCAGCTTTGTCTCCTCTTTTCTCCCTATCTCATTTCAGCCCCAAGACTTTTTAAATCTTAAATGTTAATCCCTTAAAGCTCCAAGGTTTTTAATCGTCCCCTTCCTTTTCTAACTAATTTGAACTGGCGTTGCAGTTTTTCCTTTTCCTTGTTCTGTTTTTTCAGTTGCAGCGCAGACTTTCCATCGAGATGCCAACTCTGAAGTTAGCTCAATCTCCGAGAGCCAAAGAGTGACGTTGACCCAGTAACCTCCGCAATCTAGTACCATGTCGCTAGGGACGAGGACGACCAACACAACAATAACCTTCACCAGCAAAATGAGTGCCCCGTCTGGATGGAAAACTGGAGCATGGTTTAATCAGTGTCCGGAAAACAGAGAGAGTAGAGAGATGGTAACATGAAGCAATTATCTTGGTTTTGTCTAAGCAGACTTGCCGGGGAAACTAAGGTCAATGGAAGTCCTCCATGGTTCACCAACTTACTCAATTCTGCTGCCGCGCTAATTGAATTCTGCTGCCACTCTTCCCACCCCGCACCCAACACATCAGGCCGATTCGCTCTTCCTGCATATCCCAAAACCAACGCAAAATGGTAGTGTCGAAAATCTGGGTATGTCAAATCAAAAGGAAAGTAATTCAGAATCCGTGGAGAGCAGAGATAATTCTACAAGTCTTCTATTGCTGCAAATAAAAAAGTGGATTGAAGCTATTAATGGAGAAAACATAACACTAATGAAAATAATACAAATAATAAGATGAAAAAGTACATTGAAAAAATATAAAAGGTTTGAAAATCCACTTTATAACCTGAATTTAGGAAAAGTTTCCAAGGCTAATGTGACATATAGTGGGTTATTATTGTCTTTTTTATAATTAAATAAGGATATAAGTGAGAAATAGTGAAGGTGAGTGGGGCACGATTAGAGTGCTGTAGACACAGGATGAGAGCATCAGCCAAGGGGAATTATTTTTTGGGGACAATTTGTTTTGGCAAGAGAGGAGCGTAGATAAAGAAGGTTCTTTGACTATGCGAGAAGAAAACTGAATGAAATGAGAATGTAATTCTTGTTGACTGGTTATAAATTAATGAAGAGGTGCTCTGTTTTCCCTACCTATTTCTGCAAGTTCTATGCTCAAGTTGAAAAATTGACCCAAGTTGAAATCTGAAAAAGGCAGATTGTTTAAAAAATAATAATTATAAAGATCAGCAATAATTTAAACATATAAATTCTTTTCTAAATATTATATAATTTTAAAGTTTATCAACATTTAAAGTCAATTTATAGAATAAGATTTTTTCTCATATTTATACATTCTCTTTTAACTCTATTTACAATCGATATAGAATATTCAGCATTCTCCTCTTTCACATATTGGCCTAACCCCTTAAATCTATATATTATTAAAAAAAAATCTTGTAACCTGAACTCTAATACCTCTTAATTTTAAAAGTTAACTTATAAATTGAAATTTTCTTTGCATTTATACATTCACCATCAATTTCTTTCATAATTAGTGTAAGCTACCCAACACTAAACTCAAAAGTCAGCCACCACTTACAATTCAAGACATTTCCTAACATGTTCTTCTCTAAACTCACAAGTTCTGCTATTCATTGCATTGTAAAAAATGATTACCTCTCTTCCACATTATCGGGTGTTATATAGTGAAGTAAAACATTTAGTGAAATTTAATGACAATCACCTATTATATTCTTTAATTTCAAACAATAATCATAATAACTTTTTAATCAAAAAAGAAATATAATATTGATGTCCCAGGTAAAACATGGAAGCCCGCGTGGGTGGAGCCACGAATTCTTTAGTGGGTCAATCTGAAATTTTGAAAACTAGTAGGATTATATTCTTAAATTTGAGTAATAGTTCAAATATTTAAAAAAATAAGTTGCTGAGAACATTTCATACCGAACGCACTTCATTTGTGGACTTATGACCCAACTAAAATTCTCATCCAAAGACAAATAAACGTATTTAAATAGATAAAAAATTACTCCTCCCCAACTCTTTTTATATTTATTTTTACATTATTTAAATTATATTTAATCTCATTTTTTGATAAAAATTATTTTTTTTATTAATTATTAACAAACAGTTATTTAATAATTTAATTAAAAAAATATGAGCGTAACTTAATTTTATCTATTTAAATTATTTATCTAATTAAAATTAAAATATTATTTATTTTACTTAAAATTTTAAATTTGAATTTTTTACTTTTTAAATTTAAATTTTAAGAAACAAAAAAAATTTTAATAACATAATTTCACTATATTTAAAATTTTTATTTTATAATATTTTAATTTTATTTAAATTTTTTTAATTTAAATGACCCAACCCTATTAAATTATAAAAATTAGATTTTTTATAAAAATTCAAAAAAAAAATTAAAAAAATAAGTGAATCAAATAATTTTAATTTGTAATCAGATGAGTAACCAAAATGTGAGAAATTGAGTTATTTTTGTCTCTTTTTTAATAAAATTATTAAATAAGTATTAGCTAATAATTAGGTAAACGAGAAAAGTACTTTTTTTTCAATGCTTTATTTTTACATCATGTTAATGCTTTCAAATATTATTAATATTACATTATTAAATAATTAGTATTACTTAATTCTCATAATAACTATTTACCACCATTATTGAAACAGATTCACTTTCTGGACTTGGACATGTGAAATGATATGGTTGTTTCGTTTTAATTTTCTTTGAAAGATATTTTTTTGCACTGCAAGAAATCAGCTTATTAATCAAATTTTTACCGTTGGTCCTTTAAATGCAAAATTCTTTAAACATCCAAAAAATATAAAAAACTAGAAGCTAATAATTCCATTTAATTTGCAAAAATGTTGTGATAAAAGCTGCCGACTAAATGATTATCAAACAGATCCTACTTGATCTTGCGAACAATATGAATGCGTTGCATTATTTTCAGCCTAGCTGCCCGTGAATGACGTCCCAGTTTAAGGGAAGAAACAAGAAAATAGAAAAGTAGCTGGCGGAGATGTGAACATTAATTTGTCAAAACCCAAGCTCCAACTGCCACGTTAAGAAGTAATTCTTGTAAAAGTAACTCGGGAATAAAAGCAATACGTGCAAAACCATGTGCATTAATCCAAGCCAAATCCACTTTTCCGGGAGCTTCCCGGAATCAAAGTTCTTACATTATTAAGCAATCCAAACAAGAAATCCTTTTATTTTTACTGCACTCTCTCTCTTCCTTTTGGAAATTGGGTAACTTTTCCACACAACAAATCCAAGAACCAAAATTTTAAAAAAAAAAAAAGGAAATTTTGTCATAGGACAAGGATGTTGCGTGTCAGAGACTTATCAGATTAATTGAATTGGTCAAATCGGCCCCTCTTCGAAGAATTTAAGGTTTTTATTTTCAAACCAGCTCTCTGACTACTTTGAACTTGGATAATTACTTTTTCATATGATTTTGGAGAATTAATTTGATAACTAATCAGAACTTATTTTTCCATATGTGATTTATTTATACCATCAAGGATATTGTTCAAATTAATACGAAAATTAAGCAATTTTTTTAAATATTAAACAAATCCAATATATATCGAATCTTTATTAATTATTTCCGTAGCTTTTTTTATTTTTGTAAATCACCAAGTATTATTTTATATATGCATAATAATAAATAATTAATTCACGCATTTTGACTTTGTCTGTTACAAAACTTGCTTAATATGTCCGTTTATTTTTGTATTTATTTACTTTGGCGGTTCTTATGGAAGAGGAAAGTCCATCCAGTTGAACAAGGGGGTAATTCCAACAATATGAACTTCATTTTCAGATTCTCAGTTGAATTAGAAAAGGTGAAGGGATAACTCTCTCTCTCTCTCTCTCTCTCCCTCTCTCTTTCTCTCAAAAAAAAAAATAAAATAAAGAAATTATGCATATATATGATCTTGTTTTGGATACCATTATTTTCAACTTTCCCAAAGGGAGTGGTTGTTTCCGTGGCATTCCCTTCATATTCCAAGTTGATTTCGTCTTAAGAAAGTCGTACTTTCCAATGCAATTTCTAGGAAAGAGAAGTCTGAACTCCTTCTTTACTCCATGAAACTGCCATGAAAATCCATAGCGAAAAAATCCTTTTGGCCTCTTATCTGTGCCTTCCTAAGCATCCCCTTCCCCAACGCTTTCTCATCACTTATCTTTCCAACTCCTATTTAATCCCCCTATCTATCCACATCCAACCAGGCTAGTATCTTACTATATATTTATATATATATCTCAACTCAAATCAACTGAGCCTTATCCTGTCTCCCTGAGCCGGCAATGGCTTCAGAGACCTGGGTGGTGTTCGAGGACTTCTTCCGGCCATGGTGGAGCGGCTCGGAGCCAAGGGATTCATGGATGAGCTGTGCAAAGGGTTTCGGGTGTTGATGGACAAGGAGCGGGAAGTGATCACCTTCGAGAGCCTGAAGAAAAACTCTGCGGTGCTAGGATTGAAGGAGATCTGTGATGATGAGCTCATGTCCATGCTTAGAGAAGGGGACTTGGACGGTGATGGAAGCCTCAGCCTGATGGAGTTTTGTGTTCTCATGTTCAGGCTTAGCCCCGAACTCATGGATGGATCAAGAAGGTGGCTGGAAGAAGCTGTGGTGAATGGGTTGTAGATCATCTTTGTTGCTAGGAAGCCACCATTTTCAATTAGATGCCCTTTATTGTTATTATTATTATTTTTCTTTCTTCTCCTTGGCAATGCCTTTTGCTTGTTTCTTGTTTCATGAAATGATGATGATTCTTCGGTTCATTTTAGTTTAGCATGCATCGTAGACTGACTTCTGGTACTGGGTTGCTAAACAATTTTAACTAGAAAAAAAATAAAACTCAAATTAAAAATTTGCAGTCTATTTTTTAAATTCAGAAACTTGAATTTTCCAAGGGAAAAGGGAGAAGAAAGGAAAATTAACCTTTTGGTTTTATAATTTTCAAAAGTTTGATTTTGTAAACAAGAAAAGATTTCGAATTGGTCAAACTTAATTGGGATTTTCAGGTAAATAGACGAACTTTGTTGTCCTTATGTTACTATGCCAGTATTTTGTTACTTTAAAGCTGTACAATGTTATAAAGGGACACTTACCAAATCCAATCAAATTTAAAAAATAAACATGAAGTATTCAATTATAAAAAGAACTTCCTACAAACTTTTTGTAAAAAAGGAAATTCCAAATTAAATATGGACCCTTCTGTGAAATCATAATATCTTATCAAAAAGAATGAGCAATACTTAAAAAAATTGCAAAATTATTTCTTAAAAACAATTGGTGAAAACAAATTAAATAAAAATAATAATGATGATGATGAAACGGAAATAATCATAATGCCCTTCTATAATGACTTCATTCATATGTAAACACCGAATCATCATTGCATTTCATTATAATGTGTTATGGGGTTTGAACAATTTTGCACATCGCTGATACAGTTGAATTAGTTGGAGGTTTGGTGGGTGTCTCGTTATCTTGAGATTCTTCTGCTTTTCTGTTCTAATGAATATATATCACTCATATATTTGTAATTAACTAAAATTTTAATACTTTCATACAACATTTTTATATTTAAATTTAGGGGTAAAAAATATATATATATATATATATATTTTGATAGTATTAGACAATAAAAAAATAAATAAATAATTTATGTAAATATTTATTTAATAATCATAAATTAAATTAAAACCAAACTAAACTGAAATTTTAGGTTTGGTTCCGTTCGATTTGTAATTAAATTAATTTTGTTTGGTTTCTAAAGTATTAAAATCAAAAAAAATCAAAAAATCAAACTTAATTATTAAAACTAAATCAAAATCATGGTTTGCACAACCTAATAACAAACACTCTCCCTCCCTCCATTTGATTAGATAATATTCAACTCTATTATTATAATTAAAAAAAAAAAACACATTACCCTTTGATCAACTGTTGAATAACAGTTAACAAATGGTTTTCTTAAAGAAAAGATAAGATTAACCCAATTTCACATGTTTTGGCTACCCACCTAATTAAAAATTAAAATATTATTTGATTTACTTAAAAAAAATTTAAAAAAAATTTCTTATTTTTTGTAATGGCCCAATTTTTTGTATTAAGCAAATATGCAAATTAATAGGTCAAGGGGTGTTAGTGAACAAATTAAAGGTTTCGGGGTGTTCTTATAAAGCTTGGCGAAGATCTGGGGCCAATCTCGGAAATTTAGGGGCTGTGAGGAGAGAATTGAAAGAAGGGAGACCTAGGTGTGAGAGTTGCTAAGTCCAGAGACCAGTTTAAAAAGTAGAAGTGAGCTATTTGCAAGGAAATAAAGTTCAGTGGGCTAGATCGTGACAGGGGGAAAACTTCCGACCGAAACCCGGCCGAAGGTCCTCGAGGCCAATTATGCTCCAATAGGATCAAGGCAGCTAGAGATATTTTGGGTAATTGTGTTGTCACGCATCAACTCGGAAGCGCAACCAGCACCAGGATTGGCATACCAATCCTGGTAAGCCTTAAACTCCAATAATAAAAAGAAATAGTTCTCAGAATAACCATCACTGTATATAAACCAAAACATATCTAAATGATAGATGGTGCGTCTAGAGTACAAAAGTAAATATACAGAAAGTGCCCATACAATCAAGTCAGTACAGCGGTAACAAAACTAACGCTGGAGCTACCATTACCGATCAAAACTGAAATCTAAAAAGAGGGGAAAAGGGTGAGTATAAAATTCAGTGGATAACAGTACTACTCTACACATGCCGGGATAAGAATCGTAACCATCCTAAACACAAGTTTTATCTCTAATTAATAACACAATTTACAGAATGTCACATTTGCCTCAAATAACACATGTATTCATATATACGCAGTCAGAACTAGAAAATCAAAAAACCTGTCAAAGTATCAGATCGTATCACACATCACATATCAGAACCAAATACACATATGGACCCAAGACACTCCCTGCACTCTATGGTAACTCACCATCCGCCAGTTGAGCCCCTAGCATCCCATACCATAATCAAAGTCACATGTTTCATATCTATCATACTAGGATCCCGTGCCCAAACCAAAACTAGAATTAGAATCAGAATTGCATATATCACATCATTGGGCCTAGGACACTCCCCGCATGCTATGATGGCACACCGTCCGTCGACTGAGTCCTTGACACCCCGTATTAGAACCAGAATCACATAAAACTCTAGACATATTAACTTTTAAAAATGCATGTATCACTGAAGCAGATATGTAATTAATTTTAGAAATAATTTCAAGCTTATCGTACCTTAAAATAGATAAATATATATCCTAAAAGTAATAACACAGTTCAGAAATCAAAACACAGAAACAAACAGAAAGCCAAATGTAAACACATGTATAGAGAGTACTGTCACTCATCAAACACGTCGAAACTGAAAACGAGACTCTAACAACCAGCTTATAGATCAAAGTGTACCTCCTCAAGTGTATCTACAAAGAACCAAGGCACAAATCAGAATTGAAATCGAAATTCTGCTTGAAAGACTCAACTTCCGAAAGTGGCCAGAACCCTCCCCTTACCCGAGCCTTGACATGCATCCTGAGACCCTTCGAAATAATCCTATCCAACTCTAATTCATGCTTAAAGCCAAACATAATCTCATTCTCAACAAAAACCCATAAATCGGGCTGAAACGGTTCCCAAAACTATCAAATCAGCTTGAATCGACTCAAATACTCTACAACCGAATAGATTCGGCCATGAATCCCTCAAAACTAACCTGAACCAACCGACACCCTACTAAACTGGGCAAACTAGGCCCTATTTCTCAAAAACTAAGCCGAATCGGGCTCAAATCCCCATAACCCAAGGTGAACCGAGTTGAACCAGGGCTCAATCCACATGAACCGGTCTCAAGCTAGGCAGAACCGGCCCAAATTCCCATAGAACCACCCTAAACCAGGCCCACTTATTCCTGAACTGGGCTGTGAATGAAATGAGCCCGAAACCCCTATAAATAGGTTGAATCAGCCGCATTTCTTCATGAACCAAGATGAACCGGCTTCAAATCACCTAGAACTGGGCTTGCATGGCATAGAACCGGAAAACGTCTACTTCAAAAACCACCATTCTTGCCTGAACCAGCCACCACAAGCCCTAAACCAACCTTTCAACCCTAAAATTGGTCGGTCCGCTCACGCTTTTCCCAAAATATCACTAAACCGGGACCCTCTGAAAACCAAACCTGGTTTAACCTAGTAGTACACCACTTACCAGACCAGAAACCAGTCTAATCCTCCCCAACTAAGCCCCTTAGCCCCTGAACCGACCGGTTTTAGCCCAACTGGGCTAAACTGGCAGGTCGGCCCCAGACAAACCCGAGCAGCAGCCAAGTTTATCCTCTCTACCTGGGAACCCGAGTTTCAAACCTGGTTCCCTGCGTGCAGAACCCGATTTCAACCATGGAAAAATCCAATAAAACTGAGCTCGTCTGGACCGATTAATCAATAGGGGAGGGAAAACCGACACCCCTGAACATATTTTCAAACTCAAAACAACTTTAAATTCAACCAACACACCTAATTTCTTGCAGGACGTGGATCGGACCTCCGTGGCCTCCCGAAATTGCCTCTGTCTCTTTTTCCTCCCTTTTTCCTTCTATATTCAAATTAATCGAGGGGTTTCATACATCCAGCACCAAGCCCCATGTTTACATCATCCAATCTACCTATTTTCTCCAGATTGGACTGAATTTCAACCGGTTACCCATCGGTCCAGGACCCGCTAAAACTCTCCAACCCGTCACGATCCGGTCCCCCAATTTACATTTCCTACAATTAAGCCCCTCTGAAATTACAATTTGGTCCTCAGACTCACACGCCTTTCCTTCTGGTTCTTCTGCCTCCCTTTCTTCCATTTTGACCCCAATTTATTTCTAATTCAAGCCCAAACTCTTTCAGATTTAGCAAAAATGCCCCAAGTCTTCTAATTTGTGCAGACAAGCCCTTCCCAATCCCTGATTTAATCCCTAAACATTTAATTTATTCGCTAAAGCCCCTAGTCCTTTGAATTTGAAATTTTCCACAAATGAAAAAAAGAATTTTAGGGATATTACGTTGTGTGGAAAGGGGAGACGAGCCTTTGGGTGTGAACAATTTCAGTTTTAGAGAGAGAATTGGAGAAAATTTGAGCTGGAAGAGCCAGAGGTGCCGACGAAAAATTTATGGAGAAAATCCAAAATTTGAGCACATCTTGCGCGATTAAAGGTTGGAATTTGGTTTGGGGAGCTCGAAATCCTAGCTTATGGGGGACGATTCGACCAGGTAAGGTGAAATTTTAGTTTTTCGTGAAGTTTGAGGGGTGTTCGGTGGTTACAGGCCCCGGGTCTGCAACCCGGATTTTTTAGGTGGAGAAGACGGGACCTGAATGGGTCCGGGTCCCTGTGCAAGGCCGACTTGCCTTGTTGGGCTTGGGCTCAACCTAGAGAAGTAGCAGGCCCGTGGGCCTAAGTTGTGGGCTAGCCCAAGTAATGGCTGGGCTGAGTCGACCCACTGGGTTAACTCAGCCCAATGGGAAAAATGGGGGTTTAAGCCGTTGAGTAAGGCAAACCAGCCCGTGTTGACTAGAAGGTTGATCGGTTGGTTTAGGGCTTTCT